ATTTGGCTTTTCCATAATCCATACTCTGTGAACATCCTTCTTGCTGGTTATGACAAAGAGACAGGCCCGTCTATGTACTATATGAACTATATTGCTACACTTAATAGGTTGATAAGGGAGCATTTGGTTATGGATCCTACTTCTCTCTAGCCATGATGGACAGGCACTACGACAGTGGCATGACGGTGGAAGAAGCCATTGATTTAGTCAATAAATACATAATGGAGATCAGATCAAGACTGGTCGTGGCTCCTCCAAACTTTGTCATCAAGATCGTCGACAAGGATGGAGCAAGAGAGTATGCCTGGCGTGAATCTGTCAAGGATGCTGCCATTGCTTCATCCTGAAGATATTTACTGTGGACTTGCTATTCTGTTATGAACATTTAATTTGCATGTACTGATTGGGGAAATAACCTATTTACTTATTGACTTGATTATGTTCTGAAGTGGAAAAAGATTTGGAAATTTGATGATACTTTTTATCATTGTTTGCAATGATCATTATGATGATTACACCCTGCTATCTATCGATTCATTTCGAGTTCAAAAAATGATGTGCTCTCTCGATCGATAGATGAATATGATATGATTCTTTTTCTATTTGTTGCAAGCATTAAGATTTGAACATTGTAACGGTTCATAGGGGCCTTAGTTTTTTTCATATTGATGGCTTGATTGCGGCGGAAGAAGAAAATTAAGATAATATATTATCTAAGAATCACTTGAATTAAATTTTGATTTTTTTTGATAATTATTAAAATTACATATTAATTTTGTTAAATGCGTAAGTAATACATAAATATTAATTATGTACAAAAAGAAATACATAAATATTAATTTATAATTTTATATAATATATATAATATTGATTTTTGTTTAATTGTATATATAAAATTTTAATTTAATTATACACATTTGAAAAGTAAATGCATTTACTTATAATAAAGTCATCTTTGTACATTTTGGTAGGAGTCAAATGGTTCATCTATTAAAATGTTCATATGCTTATTTAGTTAAATATTGATGTAAAATTTTAATATATTTTTAGATAAATTATGTAAAATTTAATACTAATTAAAATTAAAATAATACATGATATATTTACTCTTTTATTCTACCAATTTATATATAATTTTATAAAAAATTATATATAAATTTTATTAAAAGTATATATATTAAAAATAATAAAGTAATTATTCTCGATGAATTTTATATAAATATTTTTATTTAAATATTTAGAATTCCACTTGTTAAAACATATAGAATAAGGACAATTTCGTAAAATATACATTCCAATAATCTTTTATTCCTTAAACCAAACACTGTAATCTTACATTACTGTCAAACAAACCAAACACAGTAATGTAACATTCCCAGTAATGTGTTAGGTAATGTTACATTATTGTAATCCTATCCCCAGAGATAATCTTATATTCCGTGAACTAAACTCACCCTTAGAGTTGTTGTTCCTTGGGTTATTCCTTGCTGTGTGAGATGTAGTAAATTTGGCCATACGGATATGACTTGCTAGTTAATCGTGATAAAGGAGTGAAACAGGTCTAGAAGCAGAAAGCTGTTGTGGTCGATAGGGTTGTCCTGATTCCTGTTGCTACTATGGTTGAATCCTCTTTATGTTTGAAGGATGCTCTTACAGAGAGGGAGGTACTGAAGCAGGCTGCTGAGTTGGGAAATTCATTAGTAAATGTTGGTAGTGTAGAAGTAGATGCTGAGGTTTTTTATCATATTGTTTGCTTAGTTGGTTCTGTATTGGAGCAGGCCTTTGATGAGCATATTGATGTGCAGGAAAATGGTAAGGATAAAGAGTTGGCTAGACTTGAGGCTAATGAGGTTAGTGAGGAGTTCCCTTCAGTCCAAGGCTCTGTTTCTCAGAGGAAGAAAAGAGGTGGGGGAGGCCTCCTGAGCAGAAGACTTTTACTGGCTCGTCTGGTGTTTTGGCTTCGTTTGATAGTCCAAAAGTGAGCTCATCTGTTTCTCAAGTTAAGGATGCTTTGCTATAGGAGGTTAAAATAGGAAGAATGATAAGATGGATGCGCCGACTAGGTGTTTTGCTGGTGCTACAGTTGGGTGTAGTACTTCTGGTTGTTCTCAATAACTATGTGTTTGGAATGTTAGAGGGTTTAACAACCCTTAGAAGCAAGGGAAAGTTTTTAAGAGATTGAAATGTATGAATGTTGATGTTGTTTGCCTCATTGAAACTAAGGTTAAACATGCTTAGTCCTTGGATCTGGTTAGCTCTTTGGCTACTGAGTGAGATTGGTGTTTTAATTATTCTGCTATTGAGGGGGTCGAATTTGGATTTTATGGAGGAAAGGTGTGGGTGTCTTGGTTTTTCAGGTTGCTGATCAATCTGTATCTTTCAGTCTAATCTGGTATGGTATGAAGGCGGTCATTATTGCTGTTTACGGATTGAATGATGGTTCTAGTAGGAAGGGGCTTTGGGATCAACTCCGAGATTTGGAGTTGAGTGTGGGTGATCTTCCCTGGCTTGTTGCTGGGGATTTCAACACACAAGCCAGGGATTTCAACACTTTTCTCTACCATGATGAGAGCTCTGTCTCTGGTGTTAATGTTGATATGATGGATTTTAAAGATTGCTTGGAAGGACTTGAGCTTCATGAACATTCGTTTTCTGGTCTTGTGTTTACCTGGACAAATAAGCAAGAGACCGGTTTCCTGGCTAGGAAACTTGACAGAGTATTGATAAACTCAACTTGGATTCAAGATTTCCCTAGCTCATTTATGGAGTTTTTAGCTCCTGGTGTCTCGGATCAGTGTCTTGGAGTGGTCTGGCCAGTGAGGGACAATCCTTTTATTAGACCCAAGCCATTTAGATTTTTTTTTTTAATTTTAGGGCTCAACAACCGGAGTTTAAAACCGTTGTTTCTAATTCTTGGTAGGCTGAGTGTGTGGGTGATCCGTTTCAGATTTTGTTCCTTAAACTCAAAAGGTTAAAGGTTTGTCTAAGGGAGTTTAATAAGACCCATTTTGATGGTTTATTGCATCGCGTTGCTGATAAGAGGGCTCAGTTGGAGGCTCAACAACTGGCTAATCTCTCTGGTGTGAGTGTTGATTTGGCTCAACACCCGGAGTTTAAAACTGTTGTTTCTAATTCTTGGGAGGCTGAGTGTGTGTGTGATCCATTGCAGATTTTGTTCCTTAAGTTTAAAAGGTTGAAGGTTTGTCTGAGGGAGTTTAATAAGACCCATTTTGGTGATTTACTACATAGAGTTGCTGATAAGAGTGTTTAGCTGGAGGCTCAGCAACTGGCTAATCTCTCTGGTGTGAGTGTTGATTTGGATGATGAGGTTCGTTTGCATTCTGATCACTACAACAAATTTAACAATTTGTGATAAAATTTTTACATGACATTGAATGTAACGTCACAAAATATACTATCAACATGATATTTTTTTTCAGTCATTTAGTGATTGATGGCTTATCTTTTATGACAATTTAGAAATGGTAATTGATTTTCGTCACTATACGATTGTCGTTAAAATTTATCTCCAAAAATTTGATGGGAAATCTTTCAACGACGTTTAGAAAAATTAGTAACGTAAATTCGTCTCCAATAAAAATGAAAGTATTAGTGACGATTTATTCTTATGAATATTTGATTTGAATTAGTGACGTTACAAATTAATCACCAATAAATTTTATTAGTGATAATTTCATTCGTCATATTTTAAAAGATATAAAATGTGACATTTTATTTGTGTTACATAAATAGTTTTAACATGACGAAAGTAATTATCAATCACTCGTTTTTATATTTTTTTGTCTTTTATGTGACAATTTTTAAAGACATTATGTGATTACGTCGTTTAATGTTTGGCCTCGGACATTAACTACAAAATTAGTGGGAAAATTTTTAAATGTATTTAATTTTATGCTCATAATTTTATAGCTCCTATTAATTTTCTCAAAATTGCGTTTCATAAATATTATATATAGGACTTAGTTTAAGGGTTCAAAGAAACCCTTAAAAAGTTTGAAAAAAGGTAATTCAGCCTACGAATTTAATTTTGTAACCAATTAAGTGATTGATTTGATAAATTAAATTAATTAAATCTTCAAATTATAAAATTATATCAATTAAATAATTTGATCAATTTAGTCATTAAAATTTAAATATTTTCAGGTTATTTGCCATGTGGCAACACACTAGAGTGCATCACATAACAAATTAAATGATTCACTTGACATTTCAAGAATTTCTACCTTTTATTTTAATTTTTTTGAAAATCTTTAAAAACTTTATTATTTTATAAATATTTTAAAATAATAAATAAAATTAAAATATTTATATTTAAAATTTAATTAAAAAATATTAAATATTAATAAAGTAATAAAAATATATTATTTTTTTTCAAAATTATAAAAAATATATAGTAAATTTATATAATATTAGAATATTCATTTTTAACATTTTAAAAATTATTAAAAAATAATAAAAATATTAATTATTATTAAAATTGTAAAAGATGATTATTAAAATACTAAAATATAACATAATTATTAAAAATGATAAAATATTAAAGACATATTATACAATATTAAAGAATTGTTAATAAATTTTAAAAATATATTGAAAAATATAAAATATAATAATATAAAAATTCTTATGAGACAATATAATTGTAACGTAAGTTCTCTATGATACATATCAAATAATAATATAATGATATAACAATAAAACTTAAAATAAAAAAAATAAAGTGATTAGGTCTAAATTACCAAAATAGAAAAGAATAATAGGCTTAACTGAAATATTTTAGTAGTTTGAGGACTCATTTGTATATAAATCTTAAAGTTCAGATTAAACATATAATTTGTGAAAGGTTAAAGTCAAAATTTCTAAAGTTAGAAAGCTGTAGATCACTTCCATAATTTCACCATTTTCTTTATATCTTATACCTTATGTTTTCCTTTTTCCCGTGGATTCCTTTTGGAATTTTTAAACCCTAATCCCATTAATCTGTAGTCGCACTTTCCAAATGCATGCTACAACAATAGCTACCATGGCAGCCAACTATTTTCTCGCAGCAACCCATCTCACCACACTATTCTTTTTCCTTCGCCAAATAACCCTGCAATCACTCTCCATTTCTGCCTCTACTCGATCTCTCCTCATTTCGCGACATCTCGCTCAAGCTCCCCCGTCAATCACTCTACCCCCAAGAAGTTGTTTCATATTCCCGTTGTCTCCAAGAAAGCAGTTGCTATTCGCAAGTGTGATTCTAAAGTTGAAGGTATTGTCACGTTGTCCCAGAAAGGTAATGGTATCTATTTATTTACTTTCTGATGTATTTTTTGATTTGGGTTTTGGTTTTGTTGCTTTTAATGGGGAAATTTTGTCTCTTATTTGGTATTTCCTTGTTTTGCTGAGAAGGATAAGCAGCAAAAGAAAGGAAATAGGTACATTATTCTTTTTGGGGTTTTTTCTTATTGAAGATTTCATTCCCAATGTTTTTTCTTTGAGTTTGGGTTTAGGATTTTGTCCTGGTTTTTAAGTTGATATTGACATGAATTACTTATTTCCAAGGTTTATTCTTTGAATACATAGTATTAGTGGGGATCAAAAAATTTTAAGAATAGGTCAAAAATTTTAATTTTTTTTAAAATTAATGTATATGCAAAAATTATAATTTTTTTCTTTTTTTTTCTTAACACATTAAGTTAAATTTAATCATTTTTTTAAATAATGGGATGCACTTGACTGTTACAAAGAATTAGTGCATCCGTCACTGCATAGTAAATATGAGCTGTTGTTTCCTACCTAAGTGCCTAAGTAAATAAGCTATTTACATTCCAATATTTTCAATAATTAGTATACTGTTTTACTTAAATTATAATATTAATAGTTTTTTTAAAAGAAAATATGTGTTTTGTGCTCTTGATTAATAGTTTACAAATTTAAACAGAGGTAAACTATATAAAGACAATGAAATGAAGAGATATTGGCATTGGGGAAATCGAGACCGTTCAATGAAGGTGAGAATCTGATTTAGAGACTTGAATCTGATTTTCAATCCAATTGAAAATGTTGTTTTCTTTTGTTTTCATCAATCAGGTTAGGAGAAGGAAAATCCATGAGCGACAAAGATGCTTAACAAGATATCGTCCCAGGATGCTACAAGGTAAATAATTGTATAAATTCATCAAAAGTAACACAAGAAAACAAAAATCACTTAGGAATTTTGTAATGTGTTCATCGATTATTTGCAAAACGTAGGGATGGCTGCATGCTAGATGAGATAATCAGTTATGTCCGGTCTAGTGGTTAGCGTTCGATCGAATCAAGTCGAGTAAAAAATTTCGAGTTATTCGAGTTGATCAGTCATATTTTATATCTCGGAGTTGAATTAAAATTTTTTTGAGTCGAGTTTATAAAATTCGAGTCCAGTCGAGTCAAATTTTTGAGTTCCCATTTAAATTTAATTATAAATATTTACAATATTATGACATTATTTGATTTCAATTTAAATGATATTTTATAAACATATACAATATATATATATATTCATATTTTTTCATATATGATTCACATATACTATACAAAGTTGAGGGACTCGACTCAAACTTGAAAATCAAACTAATAATTACTAAAAATGTTGAGTTATTCGAGTTGTATTTTACAACTAGATTTGAACTTGAAATTTTTTGGAGTCGAATTGAGTTTATGAGATTACAACTCGAACTCAATTCAAATTGAATTTTTAAGTCGAGTCGAAAAAAATCAATTTTTCGAGTTTTGCTCACCCCTAATCCGGTCCTTGAGAACTAAGTTGAGGTCAGTTGAAAGAACAAGAAATAATGTCAAAATTAGTCTATAATGTTTGCTCAAATAGTCATCAATCTACGGCGTTTTTCCCGAAAAATCACCGTTGAACAGTATATTTCCCAATCAGACACCCATCGACTATATTTCTCGATCTAACACCTATTGCAGTATAGCGCGCCCCAAGGGGAGCGCTTTATCATACGTGGCGTAAAGCGCGCCCCCTGGGGCGTGCTATATTTGATTTGTAATAAATCCGGGTGTTAGTTTTGTAAATATTTTTAAACTGGTGCATAATATGTAATTAATTTCTGTTAGGATGATATTTGTGTAAAAATGCCAATTTCAAAACAAACCAATCTGCAGCTTTAGACAAACAATTCTGCAAGGAATCTTTGATAGCCCCACACGTTTTTACCGTCTTTCTTTTGTCTCTTCCGCTGCCAGATTTAAATTACATTTACCCTACTCTGACGGATTCAATGACAATGTATTACCCCCACAATTTATTATTCGATTTTAAATATCCTTTTTGTTTAGCTTTAATTTTTTTATTTAGAAATATATTAATATTATTACAGAAAAGTTAACTTGTTATTTCCACATAATAATTATAGAAAAGTTATACAATTTAATTAAATAAAAATAATTAAATTTATATTTTATATATAATATATGAATTAATAACACAATTTGATAGCCTTAAAACGTTGCTATGATCCTTTGCATTATTTGGAGAATTCAGCTGAGTCTTTGCTTTTATTTATTTGTGGTTGGCACTGCCACTGGCAATGCAAGGAGTCAGAGTTGCCTTGCAAGCTATGCTTTTTAATTCAATGCTAATCACTTTTGTTTTGCCCTTTTTGTTTGATTGACTGTTGCACAAATCAGACTTAAAAATTATTATTTCTTTATTTAAAATATTCTTTATAATATTAATTATAAAAAATATAAAATAAATAAAAATGCAATAAAAATGAATTAAAAATGAATAAAATTCAATAAAAATATAATGTAAAGCTAAAAAATATCACCTCTTTATTTAAAATATTATTTATAATATTAATTTTAAAAAATATAAAATAAATATTAAATTTTAATTTTATTAAAAATGAATAAACATTATAAATATTATTAATACATATATTCTTTTGCATGAATGTTATAAAAAAAAGGAGTTCATACGCGGGAGAAAATGATGAGACAAAACAGTTTTTGTGAAGATTGAGCAGAAAAGATCAACTCTTTGATCGAATTTTTATTCGTGGTACAATTGAGTTGATATTTAGACAACAGTTAGACAATTTTTAGTTATTAACTTTGTATGATCGAATTTTCATTTGATCCCTGTAGCTTTCCACACCTACGACTGTTTAACAATCATAAACTTGACTTTAGGTCTTGAAAATACAATATTTTAAAATTAATTGTTTAAAAATATAAAAAATACTAAAATAAACTTTTAATTACACTTGATAGATCAAATGAATTATTATTCATTAATTATTATTTTTTTACAGTTAATAATGTTTATTTATTTTTAATAAAATTAAAATTTAATATTTATTTATTTTTAAAAAAGTGAATAATAATTTTTTTAATATTTTTAAAAAATTAATTTTAAAAGTTAATAAATATTATTAAATATTAAAAAAAATATTATTAAAAGAAAGACAGTAAAAACGTGTGGGGGCCATCAAAGATTCCTTGCAGAATTGTTTGTCTAAAGCTGCATATTGATTTGTTTTGAAGTTGGCATTTTTACACAAATATCACCCTAATAGAAATTAATTACATATTAGGCACCAATTTAAAAATATTTACAAAACTAATACTCGGGTTTATTACAAATCAGGTATAGCGCGCCCCAGGGGGCGCGCTTTACGCCACGTATGATAAAGCGCCCCCCGGGCGCGCTATACTGCAATGGGTGTTAGATCGGGAAATATAGTCTGACGGGTGCCTGATCGGGAAATATACTGTTCCACGGTGATTTTCGGGAAAAACGTCTCAATCTACATCATAGAGTTGTTTAAAACTGTTGTTTCTAATTCTTGGGAGGTTGAGTGTGTGGGTGATCCATTGCAGATTTTGTTTCTTAAACTTAGAAGGTTGAAGGCTTGTCTAAGGGAGTTTAATAAGACCCATTTTGGTGGTTTACTACATAGAGTTGTTGATCAGAGGGCCCAGTTGGAGGCTCAACAATTAGCTAGTCTATCTGGTGTGAGTGTTGATTTGGCTTAACCCCAGAGTTTAAAACTGGTGTTTCTAATTCTTAGGAGGCTGAGTGTGTGTGTGATTCGTTGCAGATTTTGTTCTTTAAGCTCAAAAGGTTGAAGGCTTGTTTGAGGGAGTTTAATAAGACCCATTTTGGTGGTTTACTATATAGAGTTACTGATAAGAGGGCTCAGTAGGAGGCTCAACAACTGGCTAATCTCTATGGTGTGAGTGTTGATTTGGTTACTGAGGTTCGTTTGCATTCTGAGTTGCTGGTCTTTAGAGGCCCGAGGCTTCTTTCCTTATGCAAAAAGCTCATGTTGATTGGATCCAAGAAGATGATGTGGGCTCCAATTTTTTTTCATAATGATGTTAATACGAGGAACACGAGGAGTACTATTCAGATGTTACTTGATGATACAAGAAATCAACTTGAGGATTATAATAGGATGTCCTAGGAGATGGTTTGATTCTTTAAGAGCCTTATTGGTTGTAAGGATGAGATGATTCGTGGGTTTACGCTTCGTGAACTGACAGGTTTGTTATAGCGCTCGTTACCTGGGCGTGTTGCTGATATGGAGATTAAGATGAGCCTTTTTCAGTAGGGGAAGGACAAAAATCATGGGCCTGATGGTTACACGACTGTTTTTTTAGGGAGGCTTGAGATATTATGGGGAAGGATTTCTTGAAGGTTGTTCATTACTTCTTCCATTCTTTAAATCTTATGGCAGCATTTAATGCCACCTCTATTACCTTGGTTTCCAAGGTAGCTAATGCGTCTAGGCCTAAAGATTTTCGTCCCATTTCGTGTTGCTCTGTGGTCTATAAGACCATTAACAAGGTGTTGGTGTCTCGACTTGTGGAGCATTTTCCTGACATGTTTACCCTTAACCAATATGCTTTTGTTCGAGGGAGGGGCATAACCGATAATGTCCTGCTTGCGCAAGAAATAGTTAAAAGGATATAATTGGAAGTCTCTTCGGTACATTGTGCTATCAATGTGGGCCTACAAAAGGCTTTTGATTCCACTGATTGGGGGTTTTTTGAATATCCTTATGGAGGCTGTTGGTTTTCCTGAGGTTTTTCAGAATTGGGTTAGTGCTTGTGTTTTTCCTCTCGATTTTTTGTTTGTTTTAATGGGAAACTTGTTGATTATTTTAAGGGTGAGAGGGGGTAAGGCAGGGTGAACCCGTCTCCCCTTATTCATCCTTGTTATGAATGTGCTTTTTGTCACGTTGACTTCGGCGACTACACATGGGTGTTTAAATTTCATCCTAACTGTAAGAAAGTGGGGAACCTGGATTCGATAGGGTATGATGAGCGTGTTAGATGTGTTTTATAGCTTTTCTTGTTTGAAGTTGAATGCTTCCAGGTCTGAGATCTTTACCTCCGGGATGAGTGGCTATTCTATTGTTGAGGCAGAACAACTTATGGGTTTCCGGATTGGGAAATTTCCTGTATGTTAGTTGAGAATTCTCATAGTTTCTAGCAAGCTTACCATAAAGGATTGTACTCCTTTACTCTTGAAGATAACAGATAGGTTGAAGGGGTAGTCTGGAAAGCTCCTTAGCTATGGAGGGAGGCTCCAGTTGATTCAGTCGTTCTTTGTAGTATTTCGAATATCTGGTGTAGGCAGATTCCACTTCCTAAAGCTATGATACTTCGAATTGAGCATCTCTGTTCGTGCTTTTTTTTAATGGGATTTGAAAACTTTGCGAGGGGTGCGAGGGTAAGTGAGATCTTATTTTTCTCCCTCAAATCTAAGGGAACTAGGGTAGAAGAAGCTTGAATGTTCGTCAAAGGCCTGTTTGGTTATGATCATTAGGAACATTCTAGCCAATCACGACTCTTTATGGGGTTGCTTGGGTGCACCTGTACGTTTTGAGAGGGGTTGACTTTTGGCTCATGGAGCATAAGGCGAGTTTTAGCTGGATCATGAAAAACTCCTAAAGCTAAGGCATTAAGCTGCAAGAGTTCTTTCTGTAGCTGGTAATGGGACGTCTGTTACTGCTAGGTGGATTTGGGAGGAGGTTAGAAGCAAGAGAGACAAGGCGGTTTGGCAAAAACTGATATGGTTTCCCTTGCACATACCAAAACACATAGTTATTAGTTGGATGGCAATTCTTGATAGGCTCCTTACTT